AAAATTAAAGAAATAATAATTAAAATTTGATCACCATTTCTATTAACAGCTCGTATTTTGTTAAAGTAAAAGCATTTTCTTTCGTTAAAGTTACTGTTAAGAAATCGTTAATTCCTATTAATTAAAAAGTTTACCATAAAAAAAAAAAAGCAAAATTTAAATCCAAGTTGATCATCATCCGACAGCTGTCATTCTATTTTAAAGTACTTGGAAACATTATTAAGAGAGGATTATTCATGTTTTAAAGTTAACAATGTCTTGAATGAAAATCAATAATCTTTACAACAGAAGCTAAAGCCTTTAACCTGTCAGGATGTCCTCTTCGTTCATAAATTAGATTTTTAATCTTTTACCTTATATATTAAGAAGCAAAATTTATTTTTGATTATAAAAGTCAACTGTAAATTTTGTTTTTCAAGCCTCTTTCAAAGTAAAAAGAAAAGAAAAAAAAACAAATTGCTTTATATTTGCATAAAGCATAACTTGTGCAATTAAAACTTTTGTAGTATTTTTATTAATAATTATTTATTGTAACTTCAAATAATAATTTTACAGGTTAACTTTTATATAATTTTGTTATGTAACTCTTTTTTTTAAGATCTGTTTTTTCCATATGTAAAATTTCTCCTATAGACTTACACAGGCTGCCCATACACTAGATTTCTCCTTCAGACTTACACAGCCTGCCCATAGACTAAATTTCTCCTATAGACTTACACAGCCTGCCCATAGACTAAATTTCTCCTATAGACTTACACAGGCTGCCCATACACTAGATTTCTCCTTCAGACTTACACAGCCTGCCCATAGACTAAATTTTTCCTATAGACTTACACAGGCTGCCCATAGACTAGATTTCTCCTTCAGACTTACACAGGCTGCCCATAGACTAGATTTCTCCTTCAGACTTACACAGGCTGCCTATAGACTAGATTTTTTCCTATAGACTTACACAGGCTGCCCATACACTAGATTTCTCCTACAGACTTACACAGGCTGCCTATAGACTAGATTTCTCCTATAGACTTACACAGACTGCCTATAGACTAGATTTCTCCTATAGACTTACACAGGCTGCCTATAGACTAGGTTTTTTCCTATAGACTTACACAGGCTGCCTATAGACTAGATTTCTCCTATAGACTTACACAGGCTGCCTATAGACTAGATTTCTCCTATAGACTTACACAGGCTGCCTATAGACTAGATTTCTCCTACAGACTTACACAGGCTGCTATAGACTAGATTTCTCCTACAGACTTACACAGGCTGCCTATAGACTAGATTTCTCCTTCAGACTAACACAGGCTGCCTATAGACTAGATTTCTCCTACAGACTTACACAGGCTGCCTATAGACTATATTTTTTCCTATAGTATTTTTATTGGTGAATATTTTCCTAGACTCACTACATAAGGTTTATTTAGTTTATTGTATAAGATACTGTATTATAAATTTTACTTAAGATTTTTTAAGATACTTAAGATAAGATTTTACACTTTACTTAAGATTTAAAATAAAATAAAATAAAATAAAATCACAGTATGTGATATAAATTCTGATCTTTCTACACTAATTGTAACTCTGTTTTAAAGCAGAATATCATGCCTAATGTTTTAAATAGCAGTATTGTCTGATTAAAATATCATTTAAGTCTAGAATTACATAAATATAAACTACAGAAAAAAAAATTCAGATAAAATTACGTAAAATAACCTTTTTAAAGTATCTTTCCCCTACAAATATTATAAATAAAATTTTATTGTTTTGATTTTAACTTAAATTTTCATTGAGATAATGTATCAATGAATATAAAACAGTAGAAATTATTACTCAGAAACATTTCATTTTTCGATATTTATCACATTCACATTTGATCTTTTGTTTTCCATATTAGAAAAATGGCGGCCATTTAAAATAATGATCATTTTCGTTACGACTAATTGCGTGTAAGAGAGATAAAAACTGTACGAACAATTAGCGCGTGATGGATGGAATTGAAAAATCAAAAAACGAAATAGATCCACTCTTTTACGAGTAGGATAAATTTCTGCTATAACTTGTATGGTATTCAGTATTTTAGTTGGCTATCTTTGCATCATAGTATATAAATAAACTGACTTTCCGGGAACATAACTTCAATTTATAACACTTAGCTTATGGAAGAATTAGACTCGCTTTACGACGGATCATTTAACGATTGCTCTTCAAGAACCAAACAATTCGTATAAGCAAAGCTGGACTTACAAATAAGCTACATCTCAGGGCCTCGTGCCACGAAGGGCCTCTCTTCGTCCTCAAAAAATAGCTTTCAGTCAAATTATGGATCGAATTTCGTGTCGATTCGACGGCCGATTGGCTTAAGTCGTTACTGCAGTGGAGGAATCGGGTTCGAATTCGGGTCAGAGAACTCTGGGATTTTTAGGAGTGTGGCCTGTTCCTTATATGTCCGACCCCGTCCCTGATTAGCCTGTCGTATTCATTGTTGAACTGTTGAAATTCATGGGCTTGATTTAAAAAAAGGACCTTCTTGGTAGCCTTAGGGCGAAAGATTCAAAAAAGAAAAATTTCGTGTGCATTCAACAGAAACTTCAAAGTATTGAGACTATTTCCTCTCTTATTAATGTGGTTTAAAGAATAAAACCAATAACACTGGTATTTGGTTGCAGCTTTTGCGCCTTACCAGTGGGTTTTCCGTGTTTTCTTCACGTGTCTAACACCTAAATAGGTTCAGTTATACATAGAAAGTCCTACCCATTGACATATCTTTCGTGTTTTGTATTGTCTTCTCCCAACAAATGGAAACAAACACCATATCAATGAATTAAAACGGATAAACTAGTTATTTCCATACAAATTAGAACGAGGAAAAATAAAATTTCGATTTAAAATGAAGAAATTAGTATGATCTTTTAATATAAGTTTTAAAAAAAATTGCTTATTAAACCGATTAAAAAGTAAATAAATTTGCAATCTGCTGTACAGCATGAGATAACATCAATCTCNCGATTAAAAAGTAAATAAATTTGCTTGTTTTCTACTTTAAAAATAATATATATATATAATTATTATTATTATTATTCTCAATATTTTTGTCTTCTTACATTATTAAATTGCATTTATTGGAAAATGTTTTGCTTATTAAAATAGCGAAAGAATATTTTTAAGAAAAAAATAATTTAATATTTCATGAATAATTTCGAATATCCTACTGTCTCTTGTGCTTATAAATAATATATATATATAAATAGAAAAAAAAAAATACAGAATATCGTGTAAATGCTTAGAAAATCAATAGCGGTTTTGAAAAATATCAATTTTAAAAATAAATTTCAGATAGATGCAACTCTCAGAAGCTTCCCAAAAAGCCATGGAGCAACACTGGATTCAATTTACAAAATTTTGAATTCTTTTCATTCACTTATACATGGCCTGAGAGATGTAAGAAGTATCATTGGTCAGTGGCAAATGTAAGGCCCTATCCTTTCCAAATACCATAAAAATATACGAATAAAATCAATAAAACAATTTTTATTTTTCATTATTTATCGAAAGAAATTTTACTATTTTCTTTATATAAAAGAAGTTCTTTAGGCCCTAGTCAAACAGGTTAATATTCTTTTTTATACGCTCCAAATACAGCTTATATCTTTTTAAAATGGCGGCACAATACGATAATAATTATCTCTGGGTGTAGACCTAGTTACATGTTAATGAAAATGTCATCAACTATACTTTTCTTGTGATAAATACCTTGTTCTGAAATTTAGAACAAGACACGATGATGATAACAAGCTGAGAAATCGAGTTTTTGAATAGGGTGTGTGTGTGTGTGTGTGTTCCTCTCTATACTGTATACACAGTTGAACCTGTCCAAAACGGAAACCTGCCTAAACGGATGTTTAAAATGACCCTGTTATAAACGGTAACCTGTCAAAAGAAAGGAAAAATTCCGTGTAATTCCGGTTTACACAGGTTGCACTGTATACAGTCGACCCCCCCATATCACTGTTGATTTTTGCGTTTTATATGAATTCCATGTTGTACGAGTCACTCAGATTTTATAAATACGTGTGCCGGGCTGTGAACGGCACACGTATTTATAAAATCTTAGTGACTCGTACAACATGGAATTCATATAAAACGCAAAAATCAACAGTGTTATAGGGGGGTCGACTGTATATAAAATTTTCCTATTTATTTGACTGTTTTACGTGTTAAATGACACTGTTAGATATGTAAAGAAATCAATTCAATACTTTAGAAGGCAGGAAAATTAATAAAATTTATTACAGGTTTGTTAATGATATTAAAATTAAGGAGTGGAAATCATCCAGTTCCGATATAAACGTTAATATTAATAGAAAATGAACAGATAGAGCACGAAAAAAGAAGAAGAAATTGAGAAGTCATCGGAACAATTTGATGCCATGGTAAGGATTATACTTAACAGACAACAATGCTGTACTTTCGCACCCCTCGTTGTCAAACAATACATTGAATGCATAATTAAGATTCTGATATAATTAAACAATCTCTCAGAAACAAGCAATTTTGCATGCTAATTTCATTTGCTAAAGGGAGTGCATTTGACAGCCGAACTGTAACAAAATCCCGACACAAAATTCGCATCTGAAGATTATCTTCGAAACATAATTCGGTTTGTGCTCACTAATAGGAAAGATATACTACTATCTTGTGGCAATTTATCAAGGGAAAATCGTCTTAAAATTGAGATATTGGTTTATATTTTAATTAGATTTAATATACATTTTAATATACGCCATTTTTTTTTTGTAGAAGGTAAAATAACGTCTGCGTTTACGAAATAATCTTAGATTGTCATATAATATAGTAATAAATTAATATAAAAAGAAATTATTATAGATATTTCGATATTAAAATTTAAATAAATGCATATGAATAGTTTAAGCGGCATTTAATATTAGTGTTGCCAACCATAAAAATTCTGTTTTTTTTTATAAGTTGGTTGGCAACACTTAGCGATGGTTGGTAACTATGACAACCGATTTTGTTTGCAAGGTTGTTAGGCCTACTTTTAATCATATGCATGGAATGATAATTATTTAAATGATTTCAAAATTAAAAATGAATGTGTAATTGAAATACATTACAGTGCAAACGAAGAGACTTAAAAGTTTTTAAATTATAACTGTTATAACGCTTAGAGAAATTATAAAAATGGTGGGAAAAAAACTTCAATTTTCACTCGATATAACGCAAACGTGGAAATAGTGCCACCATTAAGTCGAGTGTAGTGCAAGGCCCGAATAATATTAAGCAATAAATTTATTTAAAATAACGAAATCAACGCACAAATTTCGAGTTTAAGAGATTGTAAGTAGTCACTTGGTTTGATGTGTGTGTGACGCTATATCGAGGTTTCGTCGTATTTAACGTGGAGAATAACCTTATCGGTTCCTTTAATTTGTTAAAAATATATTCGAATGTAGGATGCATAATATATACAGTCTCTTTACAGATCTATATTTGCACAGTACAGTGGTACTTCGTACTTCGAACGCTTCAGAGTTCAAACGCCAAATTCGACTAAATTTCGCTTCGGAGTTCGAACGTCCTCCTGGAATGGAATAACGAGAAGAATGAAAATCCCAAATAATTACCCTTTAATTAGGTAGTTAATGTACAGTTTCTTTGATTAACAATAATTTTACTTGAATTCTAAATGGTTTAAACCTAACACAATATTGAAATTGTGCAGCAAAATATTCAATTGTTTTGAATAAATTATTTTGCTGGATTATTTGGTGTTATTTGATGGAGAACTACAGCATAATTTAACATAGAACATGCTATTATTATTATTATTATTATTATTTATTAAGGATCATTCTACAATAGAATGAAACTTTTTTTTCATCCATGTTTCTTTATTCTTTATAGGATTTACATTAAATATTGACAGACTCCATACAGTTTTATTTCAAAGGTAAGCTTAACAGAAAACTTCAAATTTAATTATAGATAATATTTGATTACATATAAACTGTTATTAAATAATTAATAATTGTTAGATTGTATAATTTTCAGCTAAAAGAAGTTGTCTTTTTAATGTATAAATTGATGGCCATATTTATAAATATAAAAATAAACAATCTATATTTTCTTCTTAGTTATATTATACAATTGTTCATGCCGCTGTTAATAAAATAAACATTGAGTGACTTAAATAACCCCCATACATTAAAGAAAAGTATGTTTACAGATTTATATGTTGTTAGATAACATATTTAGTATCAGTTTACTGACTTCACTAAATAGAAATGATTTAATATACAGTAAAACAGTAAAATTTCTTAAAAATCTCATATTTAACAAGAAATTTCTCATTTGTTTTTAATTTAAGACACATCAAATTTGGATTATTTGACTGCAAATTTGTTATAGATTAGAACACAGGTATATAAAATAATATAAAAGAGAAAATTTCATCAGGTGATTAAACACAAAACATTATAAAATCATAATTTATTAACACATTAAGCTTAAAGAAACATGAGCAGGCATGAAAACGTTAAATACATAAAAATGCAAACACATTAACACTGAAAGTCACTAGGACAGATAGAAAAAAAAAAGATATGATCTTAATAGGATATACTAAAAGTAAAGTATGTGGGGACAATGGAACCAATAATGTTTAATGTGGTAGGTGCTTAGAACTTCAGGCATAAACAATGAAACACGTTATCTTAATCCGCACGCAACATAATTCACGTTATCTTAATCCACACGCCATTAATTCAACAAAGCGTAGGCCTACAGTAGGCCTATTCTATCAACGCTGTCTTAGTGTTGTGATAATATACATATATTTTTATAGGGCCCATTAAGGTTTTTTTTTTGGGTACGGAATTAGAATGCATCGCCCATGTTAACGTGTGAATCGTCGTCAAACCATAGCTTAACAAATTAGCTCATAACTAATTCATCTGTTTTAATACTTTTATGAGAATTATTTTATGCGAAATATTAATTATAACTCCTATGATAAGTCTATTATAATATTAATACATAACTCAATAATCTGAAATAATGATGTTAGTGTTATTAAATATTTTATGTTAAGCTAAAATATTGATAAGTTAAGCAAATCATGGAAACGTAATTAAATTAAATAATCCAATTAAACAATCAATCACACACAAGAATTTATATAAAATTCATTTATTTTAATATACAAGAGCTTCCTATTTCCAGACCATTTATTATAAATATATATTATATTAATAATTATGTTATTTTGATAGAAACACAACTTATAAGTAAATACATTCGTTACCTTTTACTTTGTTATGTGATTCAGAACATAAACTAATTTGTACTCTACTACTGTATAATTTATTATTGGCATCTGAAAAAGAATTAAATTAATCTGGTATCTCTTGTGGTAATTCTTGTTTCAATATAATACAACCAGAGAAATACTTTTGGTACAAACTAGGAAGCAATACACAAATTTTGGTGCAGAGATATATGAGCAATGGTATTGAACTGGGGATTTACGAGACTCGTAGACCGATCTTAATACTCTTGTATTTGTTGGCAGGTTCGGAAATTCCAATGAATCCACGTCTTTCAATGTTGTCTCTTCGATTCGGGTAAGCCATCTCCTTTTATTGAAACTAGAATTGTTACTCTCCTTTTTTATATAACACTGAGTTCCTCTCTCCTTCCTTTTCAATCTTTCCTTATCTATTGTTTCCATTAAGCCATTTCTTTTTTCTTTCAAAAAATATCCCTCATTCAATTATCTATTTACAATATTTGCATATTTCTTATTTTCAATATTGCAATATTCATTTTCAAATATGTATTTAGAATGTTTGGGGAATTTTAGAAATGTTTTAATTAATAACCTTGTAGACTACAAATGTTTTAATTAAAATATTTAAAATCAAAATTCCATTTTAGTGAATATTATATTACAAAAAATTACTTTCTACAGCATTTTACTTAGGGATTATTCATTAATTAAACGTACAGTTTAAGGGGGGTGGCTGAAAATATATAATTATAAGTGATGGGGAGGGGTGGACGAATTGTCTACGTGGCATTTTTAGTAGTATTGATGGCATACGAGTTTGTTCTTATAAACTTGCCAGTCATGCGAATAAACTATCAGAAAATATTTAATGTCGGGGGGAGGCCTGTTGTACACGTAATTAAAGAGGAAGGGATTTGCCGAAAGTACATAATTGTACACTAAGATGAAAGATGGGTTTAGTGTGCACGTAATTAATAGACGGTTCCTTAATTTCGTTAAAATCTTCATTTATATAGTACATAATAGACCTGCGATTCTTCATTCTAAATAAAGTGTTTTTCGCTTCTACTTAATATTAAAAGTACCGGTACATCCTACTGTTCCTTCAAATTAAGGTAATATTGATTAACCAAAGTTTATTTTTATACTCTACTTTTAAATTTATTGAGCAAGTCGATAAAACTTTGTATTTTTCTTCCTTTTTTTTACATTATCACAATGCCATTATTAATTTTTTTTACTCTTTGATTCGAAGCTTCTGTATTAAATGATGACTTAGAAGAGAGACAAGGAATATCCCCGTCTTATTTCTATATTAATCTTTGTTTCATGAGATTCTTATATATTGTATCTATCAATACTTCAAACTAAGATCTCGATGAACTTTTCCAGCGATGTTAATCGAAGGTTTACATATTTATTATTATTTAATAAACAATTTACTTTCATAATGTCAAGTATATTATCCGTAACAAAGACATTTAACTGAAGCAAGAACACGTTAACTCACTTTCTTAAACATAGGAGAGATATAATTTCTATACTCGTGTCCCATAATTACTCATAGATTAGCCTTTAAACCTCCTAAAATACAGCAAATTCGCAAGTTTCTCAGAAAAAAGTTAACACGTTCTTGTTCTAAGGTGTTTAATTATCAAGATATAACTGTTATTTAGAATATTTTATTAGTTCTAGAGAAAGAAAAGATTTAAAAATAAATCAATAAAAATAAAATAAAATAGATTTTAGCTTGGCAAGTTTAATAATAAATTAATATTGGATAATTTTTCACTAGTGTATTTCATCAAGGGAGAAGTATGTTCTATGTTTACGTGTCCTATACACAAGACCTTCTATCTCTATTTTTTCAACTCCTGAGTTGAAAAATAAATTAATTCATTATTGAGCCAAACTTTTCTTCGTGTTATTTTATTCTACAAACTTAGATAGAGGCCAACGGGACCATTTGGTCAAGGATTTATACACAGATAACCTTAAAAATTTACTCTTCTACGTAAAAAACACCATAAAAAACGAGATAAAATAGCTTCTAAGTGATGAAAAATCTGTTGTTTATTTATTTTATTGATTTTTATTAATTTATTTTTATGGTATTAAGAGAGGGTGATTGGACTAGACCCCTCTCACCTCTCCCATTCCCTACCTACATCAATATATATACAGTAGACCCCCATAACACTGTAGATAATTCTGTTTTATATAAATTGCATGTTGTACGAGTCACTTATATTTTACAAATACTTGTGCCGGGCTGCGAACGGCTGACGTATTTGTAAAATCTAAGTGACTCGTACAACATGGAATTCATATAACACGGAATTATCTACAGTGTTATAGGGGTCTACTGTATATAGAATGTATTTATGTAGGTAGGGGCTGACTATATAAAATGGAAATTTACATAGATTTAATATGAATTTAAATCACATTTTAAAAGAATTATACCATTTCTCTTTCTATTAAATAATGTCAAACAATACAAATTATGTTAAATAAGAGAAAAAAAAAACAAATCGTTAACACGAAAGAATTACCTGACAATCAATAAAAATAATTAATATACTATATTTTAAAATTTATATTAAATATAGTAAGTAGAATATTCTAAAATATTATAATAAGAAAAGTAATTTATAAGCAAAGAAATAAAATTGATGAATGATACAATTAGCCTAAGCTTAAATGAGTTTACATGAAAATTTAGTATTAGACACTAATTGTTGAACAACATTTTTAAACTTTCAATTAATTTTAAGAGAAACAAGCCTATATAATTAAATAATGGAGAGAATCAAATAACGTGTAGAACATGTTAAAACTGTAATTTATATATGAAAATTTAATGAAGTGAATTAAAACTCTTGAGAAATTGAAAATTTAAATTAGGCTCATTAGAAAACAAAATTTTGTTATTAAACTATCCAACAAAATCTTATTTTAAATGCTTTTCTAAGAGTTAAATTGAAAAATTTATGATTTATACATTCAAATAATCAAAAAAATATTATGTGATATCAGTCAATGATCTTTAAATCTTAATAAAACAATATTGGAAAAGAAAATGGCTTATTAAAAGAAATATATTGATCTATAAATCATGAATTTTGCAATTTAACTCCCAGAGAAAATAGTATTTAGTTTATATTTATCTATATTCTCATTTAAAATATAAAAATTATAACAATAATTCTATTGAACTCTTGGAAATCAGTGACCCCATGAAATACATTATGAATACACCACAAATCTTAATACCTCTATTGATAATTAGGATAATTTTAATCTTAAATAATTATAATATATTCATGAAAAAAAAAAATTTCTTGTAAATTTTATAGTGGTTGAAATTGTGAGGTGAAGTTCATTTTATGGTTACATCAATAAAAATTTATAGGATCGGGATTAGATTTGCATAATGTAAGCTATTCAAGCTACAGCTCGGGTCCTCACGTTTTAAATTTATTATAATTTCGTGGAGGGGAAGAACCTTCGGCCCGAAACGAATCTAAATCTCTGACGGGATGGTTAGGATCGACATGGGGTGGTTTTAATTCATTCAAAATGTGAATGTTTTATTATAATTAACGATAATTATAATTATAAATTATTACTATTCTTTGTATATGTGAAATTTCGTATAGAAAATTATTGCATAATCGAAATGTATGAGTAAATGTTGAGGTTGACAGAGTCGTAATTTTTACTTATAAGCTAAACAAGTTATAGATTAGGGCCACACGTTACGAAGATCCTCGTTCTATTCGAAAAATCAATTTATACATATTTTCTATTGTTATTTGGTGAAGGGGAGGGAGGACCTCTTGTATAGGTGTATATCTGGTGAAGGAAGAAGGGCTTCTTGTATAGATGTATATCTGGTGAAGGAGGAAGGGCCTCTTGTATAGATGTATATCTGGTGAAGGAGGAAGGGCTTCTTGTATTGGTGTATTTCTGGTGAAGAAGGAAGGGCCTCTTGTCAGCGCAGAGCCACAAGTCTAAATCGGGCTCTGGAGGTTGATCAAACTTTAATTTTAAGAAAATAAGAAAAAAATTATTTATAAACTTTTAACAATTCTTAAATAAAAATTTTTACTAATAAAAAATATAAATCTTTGCAGCGTATTTATCAATTTTATATATCTTGATATAGGCATAAAATTTTCACTTATTACTTTTTTAAGATTAAAAATTTATCACAGTTTATACTAATTTAGAAAGGAACAACATAAAAAGCGCTAATTATAAAGTATAAAACACGGAAAATTTATTTCGAAGTCTTTTTATATTACATTTGATGTTTGTCTATTTCCAAATAAGAAAAAAAAAACCAAATTTATCATAATCATGCGCAGCGGCTTCTCAATTTATTAGTGGAAATTCAATACTTTCGTATGTTGGATTACGAAACGTTGGATTATCCTTCAACTCCTACTGAAATATTAAAAATAAAATACATTTAAATATAATTAATATATGAAAATTGCAATTTAATCTCACTCCTCTGCTCGTACGCTTATAATTTATTAGTGTATTCGATTCACATTAGAAGTTAATGACATTTTCTGTCTTATTATTTTGGTATATTTTCTTAATTAATAGAATCCGAGAGAGATTAAATGAGGCCTTACCAGTCGGGCCTCATAACTAGGAGGGCCCGAAAAACCTAAATACATTCTTGTATTCAAGAGTAAATAAAATCTTGATATTGTATGTACGGTACAAGTGACACGTTATAGTTTCGTAGGGCCCAAGCAAATTTGAATTAGGGGGCCCCGTGTACAGTATTGACTTCGGACATTCTTCGTTCATTTTTTAACGTGACCTCTGCAGGGTTTTAATTAAGTTTTGCTATCGCAGCGGCATTCTAGGGCTCCCAGATATGGTGCCAAATTTAAATTTCGATATTCTTACTACAGTGATGAGTTTATAAAAGATTGGTTGGGGGCCTCATTGTTGGTGGGGTCCCGGGCAATTTCCCATTTTTTTCTCGTAGGATAACGTTTGTATAATTGCTTCTGTGACATTCAAATCTTTCTCCTGTACTTATTTGATTATTTTTTTTTCAAGGGCCTCAGGTCCCTTGTCTCTCCCCTAGTTACTCTGCTAAATAAAAATAAGTGAATAAAACAAATTTTATACCTCAATTACCAAATAAAAGATAAATTTCTGGAATCTATTTATGCCTAGGCCCTAACCAATTGACTGTTTGCAACACCGTCGATTTATTATTAGACTATTTTATCTTACGTTCTCTATTTTTCTTCATTAAAAATGGCTGAAATCAGTGTTTAAATTGAAATTAATCTTTAAAAAAGAAACATCTCGATAATTACACTGAATTTAATTTAGAAGCCAAGTATTATCTATAGCGTTTAATCG